AAGCTGCCCATTGTGTTTATGTTAACGAGTTATGAAGGTGCCGTAAAGTTGTTTTGTCTGTTCAAATTTTTATCGGTGTAAAGTGCTGTTCTGCTAGGCAACAGACATTTCTTTTTTTCGAGGTATCTCTTCATTTCCCTTTTACGTGATTTTTCGATTGTTTTTATATTTTCAGCCAAAAAATAAGTTACTGTTTTTTTACATGAACTTTGTTTTGCTGTTTCACAGTTTATCAGTGCATGGTTATTGTTAGCACATGATGTTGCATGGGTTATCTCCGAGTGCCTTTGCCCCGCAGAGAAATTGAATAGGGAGGGGGGTTTTGACTTAATGTGTTTTGGATCGATTGAGATTTTGTATTGGTTAAAAATTATAGTTGTAGAGAAATGAAAAGTTCAGGGCCTGAAATAAAATAGTAGAATAGAAGGATTGGTCTTAAGTGTCATGTGTCGGAGGACTTTTTGTGATGCAGTCTGTATTTTATCCCTTAGCTGTAAACACAGGCCGAGCAATGCAAGCGGGTAAGAGCGGAAATCATCAGTACAGCCCCCTATCCGCCATGTATTGAACAGTCATTTGGCTAGTTTGCAGGATAGATATGAGAAAGAAAAAGAAATGAGGGAGAGGGAGAGGAAAGAGTGTGGGAGAGGAGAGAAAGAAAAATAAACTCTGTTCTACAAAATCTGTTATTCAGCCCGTAAATTCTTCTAAAACCACTTTCCTCACCAACTGTTGGGTGCTCTTCACAAAATCAGTGAGGTTAAAAAGGGAAATTATGCCTCAACGCTTATTTTTTATGTCCTAAGTTTTTTTTTATTACAGCGACTAAAATTCATCCTTTTGTAATCGCTTCTTATAATTCTTCTAGGTCAGATTTTCAATCTGTTCAGTTATTTCATTGCATGAATACAGTTAATCTCACGTTTAGTGTGTATTCTTTACTGCATCCGGTAATTTTTTATGCTTTTTTGGCTAGCTTTGTATTCTCCGTTGCATTCATGGCATGCATCTAGTCGTTAAAACAATTTTTGTTTGTTTT